TCACCCCCCGCTCACACCACCCGCGGGTTTTGTCTCCCCGCAGGGACGTGGCTGCTGTACCTGCCATGCACCTGGAGCATCGGGCTGGCGGCCGATCCCGGCTGCCTCCCGGACTGGCACATGCTGTCCCTGTTCGGCGTGGGGGCCGTGCTCATGCGGGGCGCCGGCTGCACCATCAATGACATGTGGGATCGCGACTTTGACAGAAAGGTAGAGGGGGCCCCGAGGGCTTGCAGAGACGTGGGCAATGCTGGTCGATGCTGCCTCCCAGTACCTGAAGGGAACTTAACGGGAAAAATGGGGCAAGATTATTTACAAGAGTGTGTAGCGCCAGGACAAGTGGAAATGGGTTCAAGTTGAAAGACAGTAGGTTTAGCTTAGATATAGGGAAGAAATTCTTTACTGTGAGGGTGGTGAGGCACTGGAACAGGTTGCCCAGAGAAGTTGTGGACACCCCGTCACTGGAGGTGTTCAAGGCCAGGCTGGATGGGGCTTTGAGCCACCCGACCTGGTGGAAGGTGTCCCTGCCCATGGCAGGGGGGTTGGAACTAGGTGATCCTTAAAGGTCTCCTTCCAACCCAAACCATTCTGTGATTCAGTGAACCGAGCACATGTCCACTCGTCTCCAGCATCACAGAACCATTAGGGTTGGAAGGGCCCTCAGAGGTCATCAAGTCCAACGCTCCTGCCAAGGCGGGGTCACATGGAGCAGATTACACAGGAACACATCCAAGTGGGTTTGGAATGTCTCCAGAGAGGAAGACTCCACTTGAACAGATGCTATTTTAGTAGATGGGGCTTTTTTAACCAGGCGCCAGGGATCTTGAAGGCACCGAAGTACGTGAACATCACCAGTGCTGCCTTGCTGAGTGCAATCATAGGGCTCCAGGTTCAGAATCTCCTTCATGTTTCTCTCTGAGATGCATGCAATTAATTTGTCTGCGTTTCCTCCTAAAATAGTAGAAATTGTTTTGAAGAACATTTCTCTCTAGGACTGTAATAAGTCATCTGGAGTACTTACCTCCAAATAGGATAAAACACATGCAGTTGTCAGCTGTAGGTAGTATGTAAGTTTATTTCTCAGCATTGTTTTGCATGACAACAAAACAAGTAACACCTTTTTGCTGCACTAAGAATCACTTTCCCCTCCCCCCTTAATTTCAGGAGCAGTGTTTCCTTGTATTGTTAATTTCTTCATGAGAATGGCTATTTAGAGTATCATGCCCAACCCAGAGCTAATCCCCTTCTATTGTGTTGTATTTTCCTTTTATCATCTCCTTTTTGTTCAGGAGAAGGAAATAAGCAAAAGGCAGTGCCCAGTGTCAGGTGTTGAAAAGTATCTTGGTGATGTGTCACTGTTTGCTGGTCCTGTTTTCTGTTCCTATATTGTTTCTCTGGTTTTGGGTTTTGGTGCTGGCAAGAGACAGAATAATGAGCCAATCCAGCATGTGGAGTTCTTACTACAGCACTGTTGTATTGTTGGGAAGGCAATGAGTCAGTACAGGCTTTGTGGAAGCTTTGGATGGTTTAGGCCTTGCAAGATACTAACAACTGCATGTGCTAAACATATTTGATGGGGGGGGGATGTGATTAGTATGAGGGAATTTTCAGTATGGTGATTTAATTTCTCCATTATGTGGTGTGGTGAGATGTAAAGGTTTAAAAATTGCCTCCTTGGCTTTTTTTGATGTACCTTAAAAGGCTGCCTTCAACACAAGTGTGAGAAGCTGAGTCAACAACAGGATGTTGGCTGGTGTTGATGATAGTGGTTTGGGGGTTAGATTTTGTGTTATTTATTATTTGGTAAATGTTTTTTTTAAGTGAAATGTCCCATCTCTGTTTGCAATGTGCAGTGGAATTGGTGACAAATATGTTAAGTGAATGTTTAATCTGCAAAAGCATATGTAAGACACTTCATACATACATGATATTCTGTAACAAGTTGGCTTTTGAACCTCTTCAAATAGACATTTTACACTCTTTTCATCAACATGCACAATTTCACAGAATCACAGAACCGTTAGGGTTGGAAGGGACCTCTGGAGATCATCCAGTGAAACTCTCTTGCCAAGGCAGACTCACCTGGAGCAGGTTACATAGGAACACATCCAGGTGGGTTTGGAATGTCTCCAGCGAGGGAAACTCGACAGCCTCCCTGGGCAGCCTGTTGCAGGCTCTGCCACCCTCAGTGTAAAAAAGTTCTTCCTCATGTTGAGGTGAATTTCAGTCATTTGGAGTTTTTTTGGAATTGGTTGCCTTCGGCAAGTAACTCACCATTCATATAGTTTTAACTTTTTTCTGATATTTGTTTCTTTCTCCAGTTTGCCTTGTATGATTTATTATTCCAGACAGAGCTTTGGAACTCCTTTGTATCCCAACTAGGATTAAATTATTTGTCTTTTCATTGTTATTAACCATAGATCGTTGGGACTGGATTCTGAAAATCCCATTAGAGAGAAACACATGTAAAGAATAGAACTAGGGCCCTTTCATTTCTCCCCAGAAAATAGAAAACAAATGTTTTAAATTGCCCATCAGTTACTCAAATGCAAATATTTGATGTTCTTTTCCCTGCTGCATTTACAGAATCCATGCAATAAAAGATTATTAAGGCCATACTTAGTGACCTTATTCATAGCTCTAAGCCAACTTAATTTAAAATTTAAACCTGCCAGGCTGTTTGGATGTAAATTGCAATGCTTAGAGTATATAAAAAAAAATGTGATAACATCATCAATTTCAAGTATTTTCAGACATGTCTTTTCTCATAATTTCTGTTATATCAGCTTTACTGCTCACTCTTTCTCTCTCAGCTAGACCATTCACCCTTCTTCTAGCAATGCTCTCAGTGTGTTTTTCCCATTCTTGGTTGAAAAACTCTCCAAATGCTACTGTGGTGGTAGGGAGGAGGAGTTGCCTTCCTGGAATCTGCTTACTTACCAGTGTAAACCTCAATGGCCTCAGAGCAAAATCAATGCTGTCAGGCCATTACAAGACAGCCTTCTGAGATCATTAGGCAAAGCCTGACCTCAGTTCTGCCTGCACAGAAGTGCTTGGTGGTACATAACCATTAGCTATGGTTGTGTGTGCTTGAGGAGCTATGCATCTTCATGAGATTTTACATGGTAATCATATTAAAGCATTTAAGCACAGAAGTGCCATTTGAAATCAGGATAGTTAGCTCACAACTTTTTAAGTCTGATTTTTTTTTCCCCCTAAGGTGATAAAATTCTTATGCAAGATGTCTGCAGTGTTTCTAATCAGCCTCACTCCATACAAGTGGCACCTTAATTCTGCACTAGTTTTTAAAGCCTTCATGCTTTGGTTATAGGCACTGCTGCTTAGAAATCCTTGATGTATTTCTGTGTTTTATCATTGAAGGAACCCCATCTCATGCATTCTGTGACCTGTTTTTGCTTATTTTCACACTTACGTGCCAATAGTGTGACTGTTAGTTACAAAAGATACTTTGGAATGTGTTATGTTGGATGGGGCTCTGAGCAAACCCGGTCTAGTGGAAGGTTCTCTGCTTGGAACTAGATGATCTTTTAGGCCCCTTCCAATCCAAACCGTTCTGTGATTCTGTGTTGGATTTGGTGTTAACATAATTTCTGTTTTTCAGGTTGCAAGGACAGCAAGTAGACCCCTGGCAGCTGGAGATATCTCCACTTTTCAGTCCTTAGTTTTTCTCGGGGGACAGCTTAGCTTGGCACTCTGTGTGCTTCTGTGTCTGAATTACTACAGGTGATGTATGAGTGATTTTTTGGTTTTTAAAATTTGATTCTGGGTCCAGAGTTAATCACAGACATTTTCAGCAGAAAAAGTGTTAGGGGCAGAGGGAGGGGGCTATCAGTAATGGATTGTATTTTAAAGTAGAATAATTATTTCAGTACTATGTACAGCTCCCATAATGCTGCACTACATCTAGTGATCTTCAGCCTGGCAAACAATAATCCTCTTGGTACTTTTTACAGTATCATTCTGGGAGCAGCCTCTTTGTCTCTTGTGGTCACCTACCCTCTGATGAAGAGAATAACGTATTGGCCACAGCTGGTTTTGGGTGAGCTGGAAATATTTTTACTATTTTTATTTCAGATGTAGTTTTTGGGGTGTTTTACAAATTAGTATTCATACTTTTGCAATCTGGTTTTTCATAACTCTATATCAAAATAGAAATACCTTATAGACAAAGCTCTGTTGTATGAGAAGCTTAATTTATAACATGCATGAGTTGTTGTGTGGGTTTGGGGTTTTTTCGTTAGAAATCAATTCTTTGTTTTGATGGAGTGATAGGAGGAAGAAAGGAAGCGAGAAAATAAATATTTGTCATTTGAGAATAAGATTTAGTTTTGGGGTTATCTCAAAACCTTTCTTAAATAGAAATTTGTCCTGCATTTCAGTCTTCATCCTCTAAAATAACTCCAGTACAGATTCTGATGATGCTTGTATTTCAGGCTGAGCTACTGAAACATATCTATGTATATTGTTTTTCACGTTCCAGCTGTCTTCAGAGGGCATCTTTACCAAAATTGTCATTTTTAGCCTTGAAGTACCACAGTTGGCTGCCATGTAGTGTTTTGCAGTCAGTTTTGCTGATATCTTTTGGTATACTGACATTTAGGCATTTTAACTTTAGTCCTGTTGTTTGAGTATACTGGAATACTTCTGTGCAAATGTTTCCCTACACTAATGAAGTCAAATTTAAATTAGGGAAAAATGTGTGGCATGTGTATTTTTCCTTGTATATCCAGAGTATTTAATGCCAAATTAATTATATTTATTACTTGCCTGAAAATAAGTGATAGAAAAATAGAGATCCTGGTATTGTATAAAAAGGTGCTGACATGATATTCCCTTGAACAAATAATATTTAATTATGTACATTCTTGTAACTTTTTTCTCTTTCTTTTAACTCTTTGTGTTTTTAGGACTTACATTTAATTGGGGAGCCCTTCTTGGCTGGTCTGCCATCAAAGGGTCGTGTGAGTGGTCCGTGTGTTTGCCCTTGTACTTGTCTGGAGTCCTGTGGACGCTGGTGTACGATACCATTTATGCACATCAGGTAGAGTAACACTGAGAAATTTCACATCTCTCTGTTCAAATACACAAGTTTGTGCGTTTAATTACAACACTGTTGTCAAAGAGCAGAACTAACGTGTGGCAGTTCTTCAGCCTCAGCTGAACTAAAACAGCACCAAAGAAGTCCCAGCTCTTTGATGTTTCATTGTTGTTTGCAAATGTTTTATATATCAGATAGAAAGATGGAAGTAAAATGTCCTTTGCACTCTTATGCATTTGCATTGTGTAAAGAAATTTGGTGTTGGTATTAGCTCTTGACTGCTAAAGCAGCTCTAAGACCAGCCTTCTAATTTAAATTGGATTCCTAGTAAGTAGCATTGGGAATTTAAGCAAAGCCTCCCTTTTTATTTTCATTATGAAGCAACACTGAATTGTGGATTTTTTTTTTGCTAAACCATCCTTTCGTTCTAGGATAAGAAGGACGACATCATGATCGGTGTGAAATCAACTGCATTACAGTTCAAGGAGGATACAAAACAGTGGCTCAGTGGCTTCAGCCTTGCCATGCTCCTGAGTTTGTGTGTGGCAGGGATGAACTGTAACCAGACGTTCCCGTATTACTCAGCTGTGGCTGCTGTAGGGGCTCACCTAGCACACCAGGTTTGATGGATTTATTCATACTTTTTCCATGGGGAAGTTCTTAAGAAGAAATCAGAGCACTTTTCAACCCACATCTATTCACCATTTACTTGAAAAAAAACCAGTTCCTATAAAGAGGACTGAAATCTTCTGACCATAAGCTTGCTTCTCTTAAGTACCTTTTGCAGACCTTTTGTTTCAAGAGACCTTAAGTCCACAGATTGTGGAGCGCTGTGTTTCAGTCTGCTCCTAACCAAAAGAAGTGCCTCACGTTAAGTTGTGATCTCAAGGAGATGGTTTTTGTCTCACTCCCAGTAGCAGCTGCTGCTAGAATCCACCTCAGTATCCTGCAAGATAAAAAATTTTACTATTCTGATACAGCTGTTATGATAGCAGATGTTAGTATCATAATTTTGTGGTAATTGACAGTTCTAATTCACAGTTCTTCTTCTAGCAGAGAACAATCCGGTTCAGTCTTACAGTTGCATTAGTTCAGAAATTTTAGTGAATAACAGAAAGAAAGAAATTGGCTTTGTCAGTAAAGGAAGCAGATAGGATCTTGCTACCATGTTCTTTCTGAATCCTAACAACTGTGTTGCACAGTTTTGTAGTAACAAATCAGCCTACACAAGAATCAATTGTTGGTCTTGATGGCAGAGCTTTGTGTATTGCAACTATTGAAAGCATTGGCCGTTTGAGAAGTCTGTGGTTAATGTGGACTTTGTAAAGCACATCCGTTTTATGTTACATTTTTATGGGTGGAGCTCATGCAGGTAATGGATATTAAACACACCTCTGAGTAAGAGAATTCCTGTGGTGATGTAGTCTGGCACTCAGCCACTGCTTTCACAGTGATTGTGCTTGGAAATCTATGAGGGAAAGAATACTATGTCAGCTGCATGACCATTTACAGTTTGAATTGTCAGAGAGGTTTCACACTGTAGTTTTGGCTGAAATGAAAATCACTTTGCTGCAGGGAGGATTTTTATAAGTGAGGATGCAGAGCTATTGAATATAACTGATGGAGAATGCATGACTGTGGACTGCCAAAGTCACAAGAGCAGCACTGTTCTGTGTACCACAGAGTAGCTTCTTTTTGAGGGATTATTTTAGTATTAATCCCGCTTAAACATTCTCATGCTTATCTTCTTGTTCAGGGCTTCTGATCGTGTGCTTAATGGAGTTTAGAAAGCTGAGTAAGCTGCTTGAGGGCTAGGTTTTCCTTAATTTGCTGAATTTTTGCATGAGACAGAGGAATTTGGGTCATGATAATGACAAATTATATCCCTCTCAAGACGTTCACTGATAGAAACATGACATCTTTTACTTTGTTTGTGTTTCTGAAAGTATTTCTCATGGCTTGGCTGCCGTTGAGTTTTATTTGTCACTTCAGTGTTTCAAGTTCACAGTGTTTGTGGGGCTAACAGGTTTTTAAGGGTGTGGATAACATGACTTTGAAGCTTGTGAACAATGTTTCTGTTTATTTGATCAGTACCCAGCCCTGTTTTCTCTCACCCACAAATGGCAGAGAAACTCATTTCCTGGAGAAGGTTTCACTTCTTTTACTTGAATATGTTCTTTTTCAAAGGCTGAATTGCAAGGTTTGAGGTTTTAGGGGGTACTTTTCCATTAATCCTTTCACTTGTTTTGCTTAATATTTCCTCTTGTCATCATTCTCAAGACATTTGCACCAAATTTTGGTTTTGGGAATATTTTTCAGTAACTTTGCTCTTGCTATTCCTTGTGGGTTTTTTTTACCTTTAGCTGTGACTCACAGCAAACAGCTGCTCTGTTGGGTAAGCCAAGCCTTGGTTCTAGCTTCTGTTTCAGGTGTCCTGGTTCTTGTTTGCAAAGGAATTGAATGGACATGACTAAGAGCAACTGGACTGAACCAGCTGTGTGTGACAAGGCAGGGCCTGGCACTTTCCTGTGCTTTCCATCTAGCCTGGTTAGCTTCTGGCTCTCCAGTGCCTTGCTTCTACTGAAACATGGGACAGCACCTTGCAGCAGGGATTGAAAGATGTCGACATGTTCTGGGGGGTTTATCTTTAATTAAAGTTCCCACTGAAGGATTAGGTGGCTACCTACAAAGGAAGATCTCAAAAAGACTTATTGACATGCCCAGATATTTTCACACGTTTAAATATCAAACTGGACACACTGGTAACCAGGCTGTTTATATATTCTTTCATTGAGATGGTCTGGGAATCATGTTCATTTGTGATCCTTGACTTTTCTGCTGTATGTTGAATAAATCTGTCAAACATAGACGCCAGTTATGCAAAAACTCTTTTTTAAGTACAGAGTATACCTGTTTCTTGTGGAGGTAAGGGTAGACTTCAGAATTTAAGAATAATTTTTTGAAGTTACATACTTTTTTGTGTCATTTTGTGATGTATCAAATATTTACGAGTCTGTAGAATAACAATCCTGTAATGTTTCACTGTGCTTTTGCAGATTTACACTTTGGACATAGACAAGCCTGAAGACTGCTGGAAGAAATTTGCTTCAAATCGTACTGTAGGAATTCTGCTCTTTACAGGGATTGTGCTTGGAAATTTGTGGAAACAAAAGGACTTAAAAAATGTAGAAGAGCCTTTAGAAAACAGATAGTTGAAATTATTATAAATACTGATATTTTAGTCCTGCTAAAATGTAAGTACTGTAAGAAGGAAAAAACTTTTAATATAAATATAGCTGCTTTATACTGTTTATTTATAAAAGCTGGTGAAAACATTCTTGTTTCTGAAATCATGCAGTTGAGATGATCCTACAATGCAAGTTTTGATTATCTGTAAATAACTTCAATATCCGTAGAAGCTTCAATAAGTGAAGCTGCTCTGCTGGTCCTGTGTAGTGTCAAGAGCTTGTGTCAAGCTCTGAAGACCGAATGCAAGATTTTATACAAAATGTGTGTCTCTTAGTGATGGCACGTGCAAAAATGCAAAATTATTTCAGGATGTAAATAAAATCTGCCTGTACATGTTGATGGTCCGGTTTATTACAAGAATAATTCTCAGTTTGAGTTGGAGCTTGCTGCATGAAAGAATTGCAATAACTATTTTCATCCTGAGATGTCTAAAAGCACTCAGGACTTCTGAGTGTGTGAGGTTCATAATAAGTCAACAGAGAAGTATTTAGGATTACCTTTTGCTCTTGCTGTGATTGCTGACAGCGGGTGCTTCTCACGTGAAAAGAACAGGCTTCTGTGAAGTTGCCTACACAGAGTGGGCTGAGCTTGTTTGTCAAGAGTGACTTGAACACAGACTACTGACTTGGAACAAAAACAGAGTAGCCCAGAACTATTGCCAAGTGTCCATGACTGCTGGCTGACCCCGAGCTACAAATTTGTCATGCTACGTGTTGTCATACTTCTATTTTTTAATTCTGTTTGTTTTGACTTATGCCTACTGGTTTTATTTGTAGTCTTACAGGAAGAACTTGTTTCTAGGAGGATGCCTAGAAACAATAAAAATAGCAAGTGCAGGCTAACAGTTAAATTGCTTAAAACTGTTCATGTTTTCAGCTGGCTTATGCTCTCCCCATTCCACGATGTGCACAGTGTTTAGCCTTTTCTTTGACTCCTGGTGTTAAAGAGCTTGTATGAGGTGTTGTGAAGTCAATTTGTGTGGAAGGAGGAGCAGGCACAGCTGTTCTGGGATAAGGATACAGTGGAGCTTACCTGAGTTTCCGTACTGGTTGGCAACGCAAGCACACTTTTCTCTGTGGGTGACTGTGTATGCCTGCATGTGGGCTGTGGTTTGGTGATACAGAAGGTTTGGTTGCCAAGCTCATTATGGTATCCCAACCACCTTTCCTGATGTCTGCTCTCCTCCTTGAGTGGTAGGGCACAACTTTTGTGTGTAGTCACAGCAATAACAAGGCTCAGTACTGCTCTGGCTCCAAAGATGGAAATGATATTATTAAGGTTTTTTAAACCAGTATTTCTGAGAGACCTTGCAGTCCAGAGCCATGTGTCCAGGGTTTGCTAAGGGTAATTTTGCATTGCCAGTGATGGTGAACAGGCAAAGCAGCTCTTGGTGCAGGAAAAAGATAGCATCTAATGAGTCAATGGCTTTGGTCACAGAAGTTCCTTTTTGGGGCTGGAACTGCCAGTTCTGAACACTTCATTTTAATGTACATCCTGTAAAGTTGCTTTTTCTTTTACTATTTGCATCAGTGATGTCAAATACATTTTAAGCAAATCAGAAATAGTAGATTTTTCAGCCTGACTGCGTGTAAGATAGAAACACATGAAAATATTAGGAAGTGTGACTGCTTTTAGGGCATCCTCAATCCTTACACAGAAATTGTTCTTAAATAAGTTTTATAAATTTGGGGTGGAGGAAGCATTAAGTTAAAAAAAAAAAGACAGTTTAAAAATACTATGTTTCTAAACAATTATGTGACGAAGTTGCATTTTGTAGAGGGAGAACTGGATGCATCCAACTCCCTGTTGAACTTTGTTTATAAACTATTTACTAGTAATTAAAAAGTCTTGTGATGTAGTTAGGATGGATCAGTTTCTTAATACTACTTAGTATCATCTCAAAGAGGTGGCAAAAGTTATTCATCCATTTTTAATACATTGCAGTGTCTTTGAGTAGCTCAGATTTGGGAAGAGCTCCCATTTTGTAGTGCCTTTGAACCTACTGGTGTCCTTCATTCGATGATGGCTTGTCACAAGCATTTGTCTTGTAATGAGAGGAAGAAGAAGGTGTAGCTAAACAGAGTAAAAATCGAAGTTCCAAAACAGTCCTCATGTCCTAAACTTGAAAATCATTTCATGTTTTCTGTGGGAGTTTTCCGAGTTCATCTCAAAGTGCATTTTACAAAGATAAGCCATAGCTGTGTTTTAGGTTAATTGCCTGAAAAACTAAGGAAGGTTGAGGTTCTAGGCTGTATAGTACTGAGGATGTTATTTGTGTGAGCATTTTATGATTAATACATGAAAATAAGAAGTAATTTTTCAAGTGCAAAACAAAAAAAGCTGAGCTACTTCCTGAGTAAAACCCTGTTTGGCAGGTGTAGGTGCATCTTTTCCTTTCATTCCCAAGCTATTCTATTTCTAATCTTCACAAGGACACTCTCTGCTGTATTTAGATACAGTCTACTAAAAAGTTCTCAAATAGACCTGTCTCTAAGCATCAGCTTTATTATTAGGTAGTGTGCTTTTGCATAAATAAACACTGTCCTCTGGAAGTTTCTCCTCCACTGTCAAACCTCGCCTTTCTTGTTATCTTCCTTTTCCAAACGTTCCTCCACAGGATATTGAGATGATAAATGCTTTTGCAGGCAGCAGGAAGGTCAGATGTGCCTGGCAAAGGCCTACTGAAACACTTCCAGTTCCTCTGTGGACCAGAAAACGGGGTAACTAACACCAACCTTTGCCTGCATGTGCTCCCATTGTACTTCGTAGAAAGGTGTATCAAAGCAAGAACAGCTCTTTGTCCAGGATTAGCCCTACAGAAGTAGGGTGCTGGTTCCTGCAGGGATGCAGGGAGAGGTTGCCAAGGCATCCCTTCATGGTGGGGCTGGATCTTTTCCTTAGGAGCCCACTTAACACAGTGGCACATGAGAGGTTTCACGCTCACCTTTGACAAGGGAGGGACTCTCCATAGGGTCAGCCAAGGCAAACTGTGCCTGGATTTTGCTATTTGTGTGTTTCTTGGTAAATATGGAGGTGGTGGTGCAAGGGGGCCAGGTTTTTCCCTCCATTTGAAAGTATTTGCTGCAGGTACTTGGCTCTGGAGCTGCAGGGAGCAAACAGCTTGAGCCAGAGCGCACAGGCCAGCCGGTCTGGCTGGCAGGAGCTCAGCCCCAGGGGCCACCAGGGCAGCAGGTCAGGCGTGTTGCCAGCCACTGGTAACATGGCTTGGCATTGAACAAAGGACACCAGTTGGTTCAAAGGCACTACAGAATGTGAGCCCTTCCCAAATCTGAGCTACTTAAAGTCATATCACATAATTGTTCAGAAACTTACTATTTTTCATTTTTAATGAAAAGGGGGCTTGACTAGGTCAGAAAGGTGTGTCTGTGTGGAAAGATCAGAGCATCCTCTGGGTCACTAAAAAGCCAGCTGAAAATTAAGGTACCACATCACCTGCACCAGCATGGCACTGTGATTAGCTGGTATTCAAGGGAGACACTGAAAGCACAACTGTTGTGATGAGGGACTGGTGTGGTAAGCAAAATGTAGAGAATGTATTTTGTGGGCACTTTGTTATTTCCTTTTGGCAAAAGCTGGGAGAGGGCCATTAGTTTATTTCGAAACACTTCACAATACAAATACCGTGAAGACAAGCTCTGTTTAAGCTTCAAAACAAAGCAGACAAGAAAAAAGGGGGACATTAACAGGTCATGGATAATGTGAAGTTTAAGCTCTAGCTGAAGGCTCCTGGTGTTCTGGAGAGGTGAGTTTCCTGCAGTGCCTCCCTGTAGTTTGTGGCAGAGGCAAAAGGCCAGAGCAAATTTTAACGGAGTGTGCTACATGCAGTACCAGAGTTACAAAGAAAATCACAAAAGAGACAATTTGTTTTACAGTACTTCTCTTTTCCTGTCACTTCCAGGCAGCTGTACATATGTGATTTTGTCTGAACAGAGCAGAAAGGTCTAGTACAATTAAACCAAAACGAAACCGACAACAAAAACAGTATTCAATGCCAAGTTCAAAACTTCTAAAAATACAGCTTTGATTTCTGGAAGAGGGACTGTAAATCCACATCCTAATGAAAAACAAACAAAACCCACTCCCAGTGCTTACATCAGCAGAACACAGTTCCTCTAAATTGCAGAGCTTGGGTATGGCAGGTAGAGTAATAAGGAAATACACCTAATGTAAAGAAGTTGCTTCAACTGCATAAAGAACAGAACCAAGCCCGTAACAAGCTGTGAGGGCAGTGGGGAAAGCAATGCCCATTCTGCAGGATCTTGTGGTTTTTTCCTAGACTGACATCAAAGCATTTGGATCCTTCAGCTCTGAATGAAAAGTATCTCGCTCTCAACAAGTCTCTGAAAGGAGGTTGTAGGCAGGTGGGAGTTGGTCTCATCTCCTGGGTAACAAGTGACAGGAGAGAAAACGGTCTCAAGCTGTACCAGGTGAAGTTTAGATTTGATATTAGGAGAAATTCCTTCACTGAAATGGTGGTTAGGCATTGAAACGGGCTGTTCAAGGAAGCGGTGGAATCACCACCCCTGGAAGTGTTCAAAAGGTGTGAGGATGTGGCACTTGAGGACATGGTTTAGTGGTGAACATGGCCGTGCTGGGTTAGAGGTTGGATTCCGTAATCTTAGGGATCTTTTCCAACCTTAATGATTCTATGATTCTATATAGAAGGGAAATAATTTTACCTCCAGCTTAACTTTGCAAGCAGCAGCACGTACATAGCATCAGGGGAGTGTTTTGAGGAGAAGCTTCAACAGCATTAGGTGGCTGCTTAATAGAAAAACCTGCATGCATTTTGTGTTGCCTCTCATGCGGCAGCATGGACAAATATTTATCAAACAGATTTTCCAGCTTCATCAGAGCTTATTTTCCCCCAAAAGCTGTCATGTTATTAACTGCTTTTTCAGGGGATATGTATAAATGGTAATAAAAGTACTTGAGAGAAAATAGAGGAAAGCACAGATTTTAAGTGCATTACAGTTGTGCTTTACTTAAGGGACCTTGAATTTATTTGCTTAGAGATGACATGATCCTTTTTGCCCCCCTACTTCCGCGTGCATGACACTGCACAGTGGGTGCAATTAGGCAGTAAATGACACTGCACAGTGGGTGCACTAAGGCAATAAATGAAAGGTTTGGCAGTCCACTGGAAAGAATTGTGCTGACTGTATCTGTCAGGTGAGGGGCTGTGGTTCCCTGCCTCCTTCCTCCTTAGGAGGAAGACCCAGGGCAGAAAGCCGAGGCTGTGTAAGCACAGGTTGTCCATGGAGCTGAAGGGGCTGAGGTTGCTCTTGGCTTGGCAAAGGACAGGCTGAA